TGTGTGTGTGTGTGTGTATGTCGGCACTACTGTATGTCTGTTGTTGTTCTACAAGACATTGTGTCACCGAGTGTGTGTCAGGGATGCTGATTCATTTTACAGCTGTCATCTCTCCTAATACGATGTCTCACTCCATCACTGCTACTCAAACCTAAACGTCTTGCATGTATAGACATATAACTCAGCGTTTCCGCTGAGGTTTCGTCTTTTTCTGAGCGCTCTACACCTGGTGTCAATTCTCTGCTGCGCTATCATCACATCTTATTCGGCGTCCATCCTTCACAAGCCAGTCATTTCGTGTGAGAGTGATAGTAGCATAAAGGCAAGAGGCTTCACTTCAGGAGCTTCCACTTCTGCCGCTGTCTCAGCCTTCAGAAAAGCACTTCAACTCCCTGTTGCCATAGGAGAGCTAGTGGCCACCAGTAGAGGACCGTGATTGTACTGAGATCACAGGTTTAAAAGTAGTATGGTAAAAAAAAAAAGTCTGCATAACAAATCCATTGCAAATGTTTACATGCAGGATGTGGGTCTATTTTATACTTTCCAATGGTCCAAATGCTATAGGGCGACTCTAATAAAAGCCCTCTCCACTTGCCTGAATTGCCATTTCATTTTCACTTCATTAAATTGGACGTCATGTTCATGTTCGCCATTTTCCATCTGGGAGGGGTTGTAATTCTGCCAGTAGTGTCTGACATATCCATCCAGTTTACACCATTATCAGTCTGCTGGAAAGCTGCAGTAGTGCTTTCTGGGAGCAGTAAATAAGTTTAGTGTCGATCAAAGAAAGCCAATTTAAAGGGACCAGTGTGTAGGATTTAGTGGCATCTAGCGGTGTAGTTGCAGACAGCAACTCGGTTACTTCAACCTCCCCTTCCAAGCAGGAAGGAGAAGCTACGGTGGCAGCGAAACACGTGAAAAAATACATTACAGCCCTATCTAGAGCCAGTGTTTGTTTTGTCCCGTCTTGGCTACGTCTGGCTTCAACATGGCGGCCTCCACGGAAGGTGATCCACTTTGTGTGTAGGCATAGTCTCCTAAACGTTACACACTGGACCTTTTTATTAACCTATCCAGCAGTGTCAATCTCATCCATGCTGCAAGCCATTTTCTGGGCACTTTTTTTGTGACTTTTTCTGGCTGTGGCACAGGAAGTCACAGTCACCACTCTTCATTGCACCTACAAAACTAAACAAAGAAAACGGCTCTAAATGAGCACCACACCAGATCTATGTGTAACAGAGTGTCCTCAATTGCACCTACAACCCTGACAATCGATTCTAGGAAGGATTTAGAGCAAATTGCGTTTGTGTTTCAGTATGCATAATAACTAACCCCATCTGATTCAAAGTTTCCTTTTCAGCCACACATACTTACTGGCAATGTTAGACTGCCCAGTGAAGATGGCGTACTGGAGCTCATAGGACACCACTGTGAATTCATCATCAGATGTCCAGTGGACCGCGATGGTGTCGTATGAAGCCGTGCACAACTCTTCCCTTATGCTCGGAGCATTGGGAGCTGCAGAAGATGAAAAGAAAAAAGAAATGTCATCCAACAACATCTCTAGCTCTAATGCTATGTTCCAGCTGAATATAGTTGCAAACTGCATTGGTGATATTCCAAAATGGGAACACACTCAAAGGTTGTCGGTTGTTATAACAAACAGTAGCCCAAATTAACCTTGTACGTGTTCATTTGGTTCAACTTATGAGTGCAGAGGCTTCATTACACACAGGATTGAAGATGTTCTTTCCAGTAGAGTGGTAGGTTGAGCATTAAAAGCAGTGCATAAGCGAAATGATAAAATATTCAGATTCAGAACACATTAACACAGCAGGAAGAGTAAATATTCCAATCCTTTTAGCAGCAACAAATGTTGGGTCGTTACATAACCAGAAATGCTAAATTGGCTTTCTTACACTTTTGATTCATGTGCACTTTATTACGTTATAGTTGTTTTTGCTCTAAAGTCGCATAAATAAAACAACCCACTTTTGTATTCAAGCCATGAAGCCTTCCGTAGAAAGAGAATGAACAGAGGAAAGAAACAAAGATATAAAGGCGCAGCTTAAATTGATTGTAAAGCCACTTCCTATCTCTTTCTGTGTCTGTCACTCTCTCCCTCTCCCGAGCCTTCTGTCATGAGTGGCTGCACATAGTGGAGTGATTCAGACTGATTCACTTAGTGAAAAGGCCCTCCAGCGAAGCCCTCATGCATCGCAGAGAATAAATACGAGCCAGACATTTTCATAGACCTTCAAATCCACTACACACGACGCCTTGTTTTTGTCCCTCAGCGTGCTCGTAATTCACGCAGTGACATTTTGATGGGTCCTTGCAAACGGGACATCGGAAATTAATGTTGAAAATTAATTTTGGAGTTAATAGGCTGGGGCCCGTTCCTTCAAAGACAGTGCTTGGAGACAGCTGAGACTTCAAAAGGATTTTAACAAATAACAAAATCAGAATTTAAAGCTGGAAGCGAATCATAATTAGAGGCAACGTTTGGTTTCATGGTCAGTGAGGAACTGAATTACAGGATGTAGACTGTAGATCCAACAAAAGAGGACATTTGGTTTATGATTTTAATCTTGAAGTAAATAAATACCAAGCAATTACGGTGCACATGAATTGACAAGCTCACTGATTCTGACTACAAATTAGTGCTCTGAATTTAAAACAGGGTGTTGAAATAGTTCAGTAGATAAACTGAGGTGAAACTGAAAACACAAAGGCGTACCAGTAAGGTAATCGAGACTCTCTAGCATCTTCTTCTCTCTGGCGAAGTCCAGGGCGAAAGTATCAAAGGTGTCCGTTAGGTGTATCTCAGGGATCAGCACTTGGGTCGATGCGGTTGCCATGGAAACCCTAGATCAGTAGCAATCAAAATGGAATACTTTATTCATACTTTATCATACTTCACAAGTGTTTACAATTATCTTTAAAGAACATGTATCTTCAAAGACACACACATATATATATATATATCATTCTGCACAGTGAAGCTCAAACATCCAACTGTAGGAACAAGAAGAAAACTAGCTACTCTACTACTCTACTGTAGAAAAACTGAATTTTAGCATTGTTTTAGCTGATGGAATAACACAGATATATAGTATTAACGCACTGCTCAAATTAAAAAGACTGAATCGGAATGAAATCAGCCCTCTAATTAGCGAGGCTGTCCAGATTAGATTCTGATTAAAACACTGCTTTTGTTTGAAGGACTAAAGGATAATGATTTCTTTTTATATCAGCTTTGTTTCTCCTGAGGATGGACATATTGGACACTGGGTTTTGTTCTCAATTGCCAAATCAATTAGTCAGAAAGCTTAAGCAGTGAGTGGAATAAGATCAGGCTAAATAAAAGATGAATTCCCTCTCTACTTATCTTTGCTGTTGGGGAAGTCAAGTACACCAAGTTCTTATACTGATTCTGAACATCTATGTGTGCACTCTGTGCTCTCCCTCTAAAGCTACAGCTCAGTTTACTTGGGCGTATAATTCCAACATGCGTGGTCAGCGTGTGGGCAGTCTGACCTCTCGTTGATGCTCTTGGCGGTCTGCAGGAAGCGAGCGTGGTCGGTTTCTTTGAGCGTCTGATCGGCCTGTGTGATGAGGGCCGAGGACCTCTCGATGCACTGCTTGCAGTTGGAGATCTGTTGGGCGAGCTTCCGGAGCCTTTGTGCCTGGAAAGAATGGCAAAGAGAAGTCGGAGAATGGCGCTGTTAGGCTGGATCAAATAATCAAACCAAAGGATGCGTGAAAATGTCCTCATCCAAGATGCTGCGGATCATTAGGGATGAGACCATAATCAGAACTGACAACAGGAGGTGGGGTTTTATTGGTACAAGGAGATGGATGTTAGCATTTCAAAGTCACACATTCTCGAAAAGGTCAAAGCAGTTGACTGATGCACATAGTCATCTATTTCTTCAAGTTTTCTCCTTCATGTTGTCTTCATTGGTATGAACATCAAAGATGGTAAATAATAGCAAAAGGCATGAAAATCCTGCTAAGTTTAATTTACAAGGAGTGGAATCTGATTTGTTTTGAACTACTTACTTGTTTCTCATTCTATAGGGTTTAAAAAGTTCTCCTGTAACTATGAAAATAAATGTATAAGACACGTGAAGGTTAACATTTTCTCTGTGTTGTAGAAAAAAAATTAGTGTGACTGAGTAACTAAGCTTCGTTTGAAAGCTGATTTTGATTGGAAAAGAAAGAGTAGCCAAGAAAAAGAGAAATGGCTTGACAAAAAAGTTTGCACTACACGAGTTAAGCTTATCCCATCTCCCTGCTAATTCAACAGTTTCTAGGCGTATCAATGATTCTATTGCACGCAACTCTGGGATTTCATTTCCCCTCACTTGCCCCTCTGTTTCATTCCCTCTCCCTACTGTATGAGCAGAGATTTTAAGAGACAGATTGAGGTCAGTGGCTGAATTGAGGTCAAAGGACATTTCATCAGCATTTTGGCTTGCAAAGAACCCAAAACACTAATCTCAGTCCAAATCCATTCAAATGTGCATCATCATGTTACAAAAATTAATAACATAAGGCAGACTAACAACTGAAACTTGGTCTCAGAAAAGAGCATTTTGAGTTATTATTGATCATGATTTAGCACTCCACCAAACAGCAATTTGTAGAAATCTGCTGTCCTGAAAACAAATATCTCTGTTTGTTCTCTAATGCAATCCTAAAAGCTTAAAGCCTACATTACATGGTGGACAAAAAAAACCTCCCTGGTGGGTTCCAAGTCTCACTGGATATAGCAGGGGGAAAAAATCATGTGGGTTTAGGGTTTAGGTTTAGAAAGGCAACCTTCCATATGCTCTGGGATCCACTTTTGGCCGGTCGAACTGTTTTCACCGTCTGTTCTTCTGTTATTCTGTCAGAATGTGATGAAGGGTTTGCATTCTATGCAGTTTTACGCCATGCAAGGATCAGGTCAAGCGGCTGTTACAAAGTATAAATGTGGTGTGACGGTAGCTTGGAGTGTTTTCAGTGGAATTTATGTGTTTAAATAGTGATGAATAAAGGTGATGATACTGGCAGTCAATCAACTGCAGCAATCCAAACCTTTGTATTGTGAATGCTTTGTCGCCCACATGCTGATTTGTACCACATTTGCACATTGCAGAGATAAGGGACTTCATTTATTTTTATTTTTACGGATATGACTGTAGATAATTAGATCTGCAGACAGTATTTGCCCCTTTATGATCATTAATACTGTTGGTATGGTTTACTGATGGGAGCAAATATATTTGTTAATGATTAAAGGATTATGTAAATTAGTAGCTACAAAACCATGACTCAACTAGCATCAATAAAGAAAGCACATTATGCTGTTTGTAGTGGAAGTACAAAATGACAAGTGGGTCCATGGGTAGTTTTAAAATTGGTGACACATTTTTGTTTATTCCCTGTTTGCCAGGCTAGAAAATTGCATAAATCAGAATCAGAGGGGGTAAAAGCGAGAGGATATCAAAGTGAAAGATGGCTATAAAAACCAGCACAGGAAAATCAATGGTATCTGCTATCATACTCTTCATCTCACCTTCCCCTCCTTGATCTTGCTTCCAATGATCTGCCTCCTCTGCTGAATAATGTCAATCAGGAGATCGCACTCCTCCAGGAGCTTGCCCTCCTGGCGCGACGCGTTCACCTGAGAACCAATTCACAGAGAGTATTAGATAAACAAAGAGATTGACGGATGCTGGGGGGTGGGGGAAATATAGAGGTATATATGTTTAGAGGTTCCACATCATGTCGGAGGGACAGGATGTCATTTTCATCCATCAGCCAGGCCCCCACTGTCTGGAAGCAAACACTTAAGGAAGATGAGGCATATTCAGCCATTTTGCCTCCCGCTGACTTGAGTGCTGAGTGACAAGTAAAATAAGCAGGAAGCCCTGTGGCTGTTAGAGATCAGACATGACACTCAGCAATATGCTGATGAACCAGACACAAGGGCAATGTCCAAAATCACACTCTATTTACTATACAGTGCACTATATTTACCCTCTGCTAGTTTTGTGTGTGTCTCACTTCTGATTGAAGTAAAATTGATTCACTACATAGTTCCCACAATAGAATTAAATGTGTTAAACTTCATAGTGAGACTCATAGTGAGTTGTCCGTGTTGCTGCAAATGATGATTGCTAAGTGTCTGAAGTCTCAATTTACTGCTCACCATAGGGTAAACTACTGAGTGTCTATTGTATCAGTGAAAAAGTGAATGGGGAAGTGATTTTGGATGCAGCCAAGGAGAATCCCTCATTTCCCCGGTAGCCATTTTTAAGTTAGAAAATCCTGTTTGACAAGATGGCAATCAGACATTTAGCATTTCACACATTCCCCAAAAAATCTGGTTTGATATAGGTTCACATTTTAAGGTTATATATGACACTTTCAGTCCAGTATCATAATAAAATGTGTAAATCAAACAAAAACAGGACTTTTACCCAGTGTTTGTGTGCTATGTGAAACCAAAAGTCATTGCTGGCTTAACTTACTTAACGTAAATTACAGTCTTTACCTGAACCTTACCAAGCTGCTTTGTTGCCAAAACCCAACCAAACTTTATTATTGTTATAAGTTATTATTGCTAACTTGACCGTGGAATGTGAGCATGTTGAAATCTTGAGACAGGCCAAAAATGGTCTGGTTGTCTTTTGCATGATATAAAACCACTGTGCCCTGTGCTCATTTTGGTTTCTAATACGTCAAAATGTCAAGTATGCCCATTGCTTTTGTTGAAATCATGCAGTTTGAACCCTAATTTTATGGGTAAAGTGGTCTGAAGGTCCATGTTGTGTTTTTATACATCTAGGTTAATTTGTTTCATCAGCGTTTCAATGACTATATTTGTGTGAAGTGGGTCCTGACTACATGGTGACAGACACTAAAATGTGTTTACTACATTGATACATATAACAATCATTATACATAACCTAGACGTCTGAAAAGCATTCCAGTCTTAATCTCAACGTCCAGACATTATTTGACCTACTAAGGTATTTAAAGTTAAACGTTAGAGCATTAACCCTCCCAGATCCCACATAAGTCTATTTAGATAGATGTGATCAGACCTTTAGAGCACACATATCTTCATAAGAGGTTTAACTGGGAGTTTGACCTCTATGAGCATAAAATATTTACATACATTTCTTTACAAAATAACATGTTATACATGTTACAGTTTGTTCATATCTCATATAATATAGGACATGAACTGAAAAAAATAATTTGGTGTAATGCTTTTGTGGTCATTTCTGTACTTGTCACCTTCTTTAAATGTGCAAACCCAATTTGTGGGAGGGTAAGAGTTACTTTAATACCCTAGTTATACAGTATTGTCCAGCATTGTAAATCCAATGTCACACAGGTGTTAAGATGGACTATGGATGTCATATTTTATGTGCGTGGGACATCAGCGACTATATAGAATTGTTACCTGCCTACAGTAATTGTCACATTGTGGAGAACATAAAGCACTGAACTGTAACTTTATGTAAAAGAATATTTAGTTGGCTGTGCGGTTCAAACATCTGCTTGGCTCACAACCCACTGATGGCAATTCAACTTGAGAAAAATGATTTAATTTAGCCGGAGGGTGTTTGGGAAAGTGCAGTTGATGCTGTTGATTACATTCAGGGTCGTTCTGCCGCGAGGGTCTTTAAAAGAAAAATGGCATCCAACTCCATTCTCCGAGGTGTTTGATTCACTTTGCAGTTGGAACCTTTACAGTCTGAGCAGGCTATAAAAGTTGTCCAAGTCCAATTATAAGACTGCAGGTCCTAACATAATGTGTAATTTCTCATTGCGGCCATTTCCTAGCGGCCCTTTCAGCACCTTGTAAAGTGTTTTCTTGCTGCGGCACAGCGATAGCACGGGGAGCAATGAAAAGGAAGTCTGCTGTGAGTGTTGCCAAGCCAACGAGAGATTGCATAGCTATTCATACACACATCCACTCTCTCTTACGCATACACATGTTGACAGGTGTTTTAATAATTACATCATTGGGAGTCATTTGCCTTTCTCCACAGAGCTGGAAAGGACTTTCTTAATATCCCCCAACATGCTCCAAGACAGCATTTATGTGATTTTTTTCTGGCATTGTGTTGCCAACAGAAACAATTTGCCACCTGGATTACATCTCACTTCTTACAGTATGCGAGACATGCTAAGCCGAACACCTCAGCTCTGCTGTACAGAGGAGATGTGGCCGGTGCATCTGTCTTTTCAACACTGCTAATTGGTTTCTTGGACATCAGTGTGACAGCTCTGGGGAGGCTTGAGATTTGAAAGTGCTTACCCTGTGAAAAGCTTGTGTTATCTCTTTGCTAATTGGTGTACAACATTCCACATACTTATACAGATCTAAAACAAGGGGTTCTGGGGTACAAGCTTCTCTGAATAAAGACTCCAAACACACACACATTGAAGTTCATCTAGTTCTTTGGAAGTCAGCTCTTTTGGTCTCCAGCTGATTTTTTTGCTTATTTTGCTGTGTTTTTTTTGTATGCGCCGCTGGGTCAGGAATAGTTTCCAACAATTTATAAATGACAATTAAACTAAAATGGAACTGTAAAGAAAGTTTGGGGGGTGCTTTTTTCTTCTTTCTTGGCTGAGATTGTTGTTTTGTTTCCACCAAGGCTCTGATTCGCTCTCCCTGACATTTCAAGACTGTTAATCTCAAGAACTCGATGTGAATAGATGTGACGTCCTCCGATGTTGCTCATCTGACCGGAACAAACCGCCCACAAGGCTGCGTAAACACACACAGCGGTCACACATCTTCCAAATTTAAGCATTCTGTTCGGTTAAATGTATTTTAAGACTCAAAGGAAGACATTTTGTAGCCTAAAACACTATAATTATTTCACTAAATAGTTTAATTGTGATAGACTAGACACAAACACACACACACAGACCGGAGTACATCATGTGTCATGTAAAGATGTGGAGCATCTAACGACTGTGGGCAGAGCCCTCTGGAGCATATGATCAGTGTGACAGATTGTACCCTGGCAGCGACATTAAGTGATTCATTTAACCACAAAAACACACACACACACACACTTGCAAAAGAGACTCAATGCTCGAGGGTATCCAAACTTTTAGAAAAGCACATGAACCAAACTTTCTGCAAGGGAGGTGACATTAAACTTTTCATGCCTAATATATCCAGTGACACCAGACATCAGAGGTATTTCTCCTTCTGTGGCTTTTGCTACATTATTCATTTGCTTATCAAAAGCAGAAAGCCTGGTACTTTCTTCAATTATGTGGCTTGGATTCATTTTCTCTATTGCATTCTACAAACAAACCAATTAAGTGCCTCACATTACCCCTCTTTGACTATTTGTGATTATTGAATTACACTCAAATTCAAACCCCATTTTGCAGCACGCAAAAGGCAACCGAGAACACAAATATCGTGAGGCATCAGATTCTAACAATTACAGCATCTTGATCCTATTAGCCGACGCCATGCCAGCTGAAAAGGAGTGCCCCGGATTTGACAGAATGTGGCGCAGGAGCGTTAAATTGCGGGCACGGTTGAACCGCAGCACAGACGGTGACTCAGAGGAAACTGGATGTGAGCGTGCAGTATTTCCTAGAAGACCACTCGCCTCCTTTTACACCCCCATTACCCCCACTCCTGGTACTGGCGGTAGCAGTGGACAGAATTCATAGCAGGGATGTTAAGGGAGGTTGCCATCTATGACAAAACTTGCGTGTACAGTTTTGATACATCCGGAGCCTCAGAGATGTTTCAAATCTCAGCAGCCACCAGAAGAGACAAATCCACATGATGTGAAATATTTAGACAGCTGCCCGTGCAGTGTTTTTCCTTTGTGACCCTCTTTTTTTTTTGTGCTGTCACATTCACCCCCTCTCATGGGCAGCCGCATGTGCGTGTCAAACAGGCTTTGTTTACTTAGTTTCTATGACTTTGTGCACTTATTTTTGGCTCGTGAGCACCAGTTCAGCGCTATTCCATCTTGTGCAATATGACTTTTCTCACCTAAAGACAACATGCTATCACTGTACACGCCACAAGCTATTTCAGGGCTTTAGAGTGTGTTGCAAAACCCTACTGTATGTGTAGTTGTGACCATAATGCACTTGAGGAAAAAAACAGGTCAAGCTTTTTTTTGCCCCCTTTGTATATGCATCATTTATTCATTTCTGATTTTTAAAGTATTTCCTCTTTTTTCTTCTTTTTTTTCGTATTTAAAATTCCTGCATCATGAAAATATCTCCTCAAGAAAACATCTTTGCGTGATGGCGACACAAAAACATGCTCACAAAATATGCACACAGCACTTCAGCAAAAAAAAAAAAAATAATAATCTCCTTAATAAATCACAATCCTCTTTCCTTGCAGTTTGCAAAGGCCTTGCCAGGCAGTGTGGCTGCTCTCCATTATTCCTAAACTAAGATGTCACTGCCTTTTAACCCCGTGGCATTGCTTTATTTAAATCTTCTTAGTGGGCCAGCGTAACATGAACAGGCAGGCTTAGCACAGAATTGCCTTCAGTACAGCTAAATACACACAGGCATTCACACACATTGCTGTCACCCTAATAATAAACATATTAGACAAAACCAGATGTTGAGTAATTGCAGAAACAAAGCAGTGCCTGCACGCCTCATGCCAGGTTCTACGCAAATTACTGGGGGAAAAAAAAGAGTAAAACTTTAAGCTAGTGTTTTTAAGATGGAATATGTGATGCTAAAGCAGTAGCAGCTGTTGCTATAGGCCATCTTTTCACACCTCTTAAGTGAAAGCACTGCAGACATCGTAGGGCAGCAACAAACAATTAATTTCATTATCGATTAATATAAAATGTCAGAAAACGGAGGCACAAGTTCCCAGAGCTCAAGATGACATATTAAAATAAAGTTTTTGCCCAACAAACACTGCAAAACTTAGTTATTCCATTTCCAATTAAAAACAAACAAAAAAAGCAGCAAATCATCACAGTTGAGAAGCTGGAACCAGAGAATGTTTTGGCAGTTTTTGCATGACAAACTAATAAATCAAAAAACTAATTGTTTAATCGACATCGATCCTTTCAATAAAATAAAATACTTTTTTCAAATTTATAATAATTTCATGCAGCCTCTATAGTGTAGCTGCCAACCTTACATGGCTAACATGCTAAGCTAAAGTATACCGGTCTTAATCTTAAGTCATCATCATGATCAGTCACATAGGAAATCTGATATTTTTTCATATTAGTTTCTATTTTGGCTATAAATTAGATTCTATAGGGATGAGGCATAATGAGGCATAAATTCACTGCAATAATGGGCTAATAATCAAACTTTATACACATATCCACTGGCATTATTTGTCAGAGCAGATCAACAGGATAGATTACAAACAATATAGATCAGTGGCGACCTCAGAAGACCACAGGGACTGACCTCTACATGTTGACAAGTCTGGATCAGTTTCCCCATAAGCGACTCCAGCTCATTGTTCCTCTTGATCAAATTGCTCAGGTTGGAGTCCAGGGCTTGCTGTAGCAAACAAGAGATAAAAGACAACAGCGAGAGAGTGAGGAGTGTGAAATGAAATGTCCGGGAACATAAAGGCAAAGAAATATAGACATGAAGGACAGAGCCGTAAATCAAAGGAGGATAACAGATCTGCCCCCACCCCCCCTTTAGGTTTCTCTGCTTACGCGAGCCGAGGAAGTTGTAAGACAGCCCTTAGGTGCTACAAAATATAAAACCAAAAAAATAAAGTTGTAAAGCAAAATGGAAAACAACTACATTCTAGAAAACACAAGACAAAATGAGCTCAAATGTTTGATTCCTCAGCGGTGATTCACCAAAGAACAGAAAAGAGAAGCTTTCCCCTCAACCCTCCCTCACAAGCATCCCCAGGAGTTTGCCCACTTTTCTTCTTCTTTTTGGAAAAACTGCATTTTAGTGTCCACATACCTCCGAGCGCGGGTGATACCCCTCGTCCCTGTACTGCCTCCTCATCCTGCCGAGCCTACAACAGTGGATCCTACTCTAAGAGAGGATGTGACTGGGACAGCCACTCCACTGAGCACCAAGCCATGCGCAAACCCGGCCAAGCGGCAAATTAGGCATCAAAAGCTTTCCCTATGAGAGGCATGCAGCAGCGCTCTCGGCTAACGAACCGGCAAACAGGTGACAGCACGTCAGCTCTGTCCCTTAACGCTCCTCCCCCTGCTTTTTTTCTTCCCTCCCCCTTTTTTTTCTCGTTTGCTGCTTTTCATCCACCCGGGCACAAGCTGTCTTCTTTACTTCCAAGACCGGCGTATTATTGCCAAACCGAGCGTGCTTAAGCTGCTCTGATGCCACGTCTCCACTGTATCGTTCAAAACTGTTTTTCAGATGAATTTAAGCTCAGACACAGCGAATACTGACATTTTTTTTTTTTTTTGCTGCATGACTCGAAAAATGGTGCACGAGTGCATTGGGGCTGCAAGGCCGGAACAGCAACTTCGCTGGGAAAGCACAGGTGTTGTGTAAAATCCTTCGCTTCTGTTAAAACTCCAATTTGCTCGACTTCAAATTCAGAAAGCCGACTAGCTAGATGTGCTACATCACAATTCACTAACCACTTTTTCAGCAGCGGTGTAAACAAAGCCGGGGGTTCTGATGTTATGTTGAGGATTAAAAAGCAGCTACCCCAGAGGGAATATTGAATAAACAACAACAGTAAACACAGATAGAGATGGTGGGATTTGTGTGTTTTTGTGTGTGTGAGCTGTAGGGGTTTAATGGATGGCCTTAATACGCAGATGACACACAAAAGCAAAAAGCAGCATAAAGGTTTCCTCTGAGAGGAATAGGACGCTGCCGTCCCTATATCATTATCCGTGGAGATAAAAATAAACTAAACCTCCCGAAGCAGCTGTGTCACATGCGGGTCGGCTTATGCAGCAATAATGCATACTTTAATGCAAAGAGGAAAACATATTTGTATTTATGTCTACATTCCAGAATATTGTATGAATGCTAACTTCACATCTCCGCAACAATCCTCACCACATGGACTGCAACATGTACACAAGGGAACAAGCATCTGAGGGATTCAGGAAGATGAAACCTGTCAGTCTCCATGCCTCTTTCTGTGTGTATGCCACAACTGGACATAAAGGGGTTAACCCACATCCACAGTGTCCATGTATCCAACTAGTATTAATCTCTCGGAGCTGGGCTGCCTGCCTGCCCACCAGGTTGATCACCTGTCAGTCATCCTGCTTGTTTATCCTCAGTATCTCTCTCTCTCTGTCCGCCTATCACCCTTTTTTCGCTGTCAGTCCGAGCCGGATTTTCAACCCCCCTCCCCCCTCTCCAAAAAAGGAAAAAAAAACAGTGTCTGCGCAAAGTTAATCTCCGCTCTGAACCAACTAGGTTAAGCCACTTTGATATGATGAGTTTTCCGATATGCAGAAAGCCAATGGGTTCAGATTAAAGCGGAAACAGGCAACTTTTCAACTTTTTACTTGCAATTTCAAGCTTGAGTATCAGTGATGGAAGAAGTTCTCAGACCTTTTACTTAAGTGAAATGCCACAATGTATAAGTACTCCATTAGAACTACAAATAAAAGTGTCATGGTTTTGGGTTTTTCTTTAGTTATTTCCTCTTTTATTTTGTAATTGTCTTCCTCTCGTGTCTTGTTTTGCTTCACTACCTATCTTTGTTTGTTATCCCTCCAGTTCTGACTGTAACAAATTATATTTTATAAAATGATTGTATGTAGTGTAGTAAAAAGTATGTATATCCTACAAATGTGCAACTACTGTATGTATTTACTTGTGCTTGTATTTTTACATTGTGGTATTGCAACTTTCAGATCTGTTTTACTGACAGCACCCAGTGACGCTGCTGTTGCACTACAACCAGCAGTGATGTCACAGTGCACTGACACACCCAGGAGTACATTCGGACATCACTGCAGCAAGGTGAGAAGACCACAGGAAGTCACCAAAAACAAGAGGTTTAGCTGGTAAGTTGCTTTTTAAGTCATGGATCTGAATACTTCTATGAACTCCTTTAATGAAACATATACATAAAAATATATCTCCCATAGGTGGGCCTGTCATGCCTTTAAAAAAGAGACATTCATGGCCACTCAGCAGCAGACAGAATTATCCCGTGACTCAACTGTGGAAGACGAGACAAGCAGTGAAATCGCTTGAAATGTAAATATACTTCTAAAAATAAGATGTAGTTTGCTAAAGTGTGGTCAGCTGACAGAGTTGTTTTTGGGTTTTTTTTGTTTTTTTTTTTCAAAGGAAAGCTGGTTCTTTCCCCAGCATCTGCTCTTAATCAGTGAGAAGCTTTTTCTGCTGCAACACACTGTGAGATTCTCTCCACAGCCTCTTCTTATATCACCCAACAAGAATCAATCCAGTTTCACATTAAGTGACACCAAATGTCTCCCTGCCGGCTTGTAGTTTGCGAGGCTCTACATTCCAAGCTGTGTCGCTTTAGTTATTTTTTTTTGTTTTCCACCACCTCTATCTAGATGGGCAAACCCCATTGTCATTAGTGTATGTTCTGTGTGCGCAAGAGGCGGCTATAGGCTACAAGCAAGCTAAATCACCCGAAGCGGTGCTGATAAGCTAAGAATGTATGCAAGGGTGGGGGATAAGACACGCACTAAAATGTAGACTGAGACAGGTAGGGAACCGAGCTGAAAAGTTCAGAGGAGCTACGTCTTTTTGAGATTTACTGTGACACTGAGCAGGATTGTGTTCTCAGGAATCCTCACTGAACTGCCAGAATTTCACTTGTGTATATGTGTGTGAGAGAGAG